GTTTTTTAGTAAAACCAACACAGAACAGACGAAGTAGATACCCATCGGTAGTCTTGACATCAACATGAGCTTCAATCATGGTCTAGGGGAAAAAAATGTTTCACCAGTTTTTATCCCTCAAGCGCTAATAACACAGCAAAATGGGTTGTCAAATCCTCATTCAAAGACGTTACCACTGATTGTCCCCAATTCCCTCCATCCATCATATCCAAGTAAGTACGGTACCTACCTAGACCTTTTAGCCAGTTCACCTGTACTCACTTCCGCACCTAAACACCATCCCCCTTACCGGAAAAAAATGCCTACACTACAACTTGGGTGAGTTAAATGTAATTGCTACAGAAAGCAACAGGGACATCTACACTTAATGCTCAAAATGGATTCAGAAAGTGTGAAGCTTGTTTAACCTCACTGCCATCAAGTTCCTCATAATGCTGATCCAAAATCTTCCTCCCACAGAACAATTGGTGGGTTTGAGCCCTGCCTGGGCCTTCCAGTTAACAATCCAACTCGTACCCATTTACTAAGACTAAGCATTAAAAAAATAAAAGTATGTCCCATCAACACAAAGTCATGCCAACAATATACAGGGTTGCTATGAGACCGTCAATCTTTATGCAGGCCGCCTTTTTCCCACAAAGGGAATGGTGGGTTGGCAGCCGAAAGCCTAACTCAGAACCACCAAAAGGAACCTCAAAATAGTGCTACAAACAAAACAGAGAACACGGTAAGGGAATGTCAGAACCAAACATAACGGTATAATCAGTACGATCATTTGGGACCGAAACATTTTGTCATCCTTCATTCCCACACACAAAAACCATTTTGCACTTGGTTGAAATAGCTGGATGTTGGCCAGACCCACAACAGAATTAATGCAATTTCCTGTAATAATTATCTGTGCATGTTTTCTGTGTCAGGTGGTGTGCTAGGAATTCTTGGGGTGGGGTGGGGAGAATCCTTAGAAATTCCCTGAGATAATTCTATCTCCAGCCCCCAAGGATTACCAAGCTTAATAGTCAAAAAGAAGTCACCTGTTAATGGACCAGTCATGATTTCAACTTAACATCACAATGTCACTACTGCCAGAAGCAATGAAGAGGGGACCCCAGTAAAACTAACTAGAAGTTGCTGCTCCCAAGATGGTTCGAGGGCATATAAACCAAGAGACAGTCCTCAACCAACCACTGATTCTTGTGACACAGCTCACTTCAACAAACCAGCATTTAATCTCGGACACAGTAAGAGGCTCAGCTGCACAAAGGCCTTGAGTTAGCACTGGATAGCTGCTAATCATTTCCTAGCAAATGCCTTTCATCACGCATTCTACAGGACTGTCATCAGCATTTGAGCTCACCTGCCATTTCTTGACCATGGAGCACATCTTGTCCCGCGTCAGGTCCATGCCGTGGAAGTTGGTCAGGCAGTTTTTGCCCTGAACATCCTCGGTAATTAACTTAAATTTTCTAAAGGCAACCTCATCGTTTTGCAGATCAGCAAGGCTCACTTCAAAAACTCGTCCCTTGAGGCCATCAGATGCAATTTCTACAAGAGTAAAATTTCTTATTAAGACAGACCTAAAAGTCACAGCAACTTTCATGTATAAAAGCTTACCCTGTTGCTTAAAATGTAAGAAAAAAAAAACAAAACTTAAAGCTTACCCAAACAATAAATTATAAAAGATTTAACATTTTGCCCAAATCCAACTGGAAAGCGATTATTTGTTGACACATTAATTTAAAGCTGAAATCTGCACTAATTCCCCAAAGCACCACCCAGCTTCACATGCACCATAGGGGCCAACGCTGTTAATTAGGAGCTGACACTTCAACACTAGTGCCACAGAACAAGAGACTATACAGGTCTTAAGATACATGCAAACCAAGGATAGGATACTTACTGGTTCCTTGAGTTCTGGTGACTAGTGTTTTCCCAATATTTCTTATATTGAACATAGCTGGTGCTTTCACATCATACCAATCTTTCTTAGAAAATGGATCCACCCTGGATTGAAAAAAAATTGTTATACAGAAGATCACTTCATTGCTTTTAAGTGGGTTTGGTTTTCCATTCTCAATAGCGTCGTTATTATTGCCCCTTACTATTTTACAGAATTAACAGTTACCGAAACGATTTCCCTCCCAAGGAACTCAGGGAAGCACATGGGAATTCGCTCTCTCCATGTCCACCACGCACCCGCTTCCACGAGTCCTTCCACTATGAAGCCTTGGCCTCCGCGTCTCGTGAACATTACGTGGCCCTTCAGAGAGCCTCCGATTCCACGGCGCTCCAACCGC